CCATAACCCCCCTTCAGGCTTAAATGGTGTAATATTTCTAGGACTGTTAAAGAAACAAGAAATCCTAATATCTGGGAGATGTTGTCTGCAGACAGACAGATCTGGAAGATGGGGATTGGAGCTCCACTGAGGAAGAAAGGCATGAAGATGTCTATTTATAGTTCCTCTGTAGAACAGGAGTGGGCAAAGTGTGGACTGCAGATTGCATGTGGCTCTCCGGGGCTGTTTTATGACCCTTAGGGGTAAAAGGCTGGTTCACTGAACTGGGGGGGAGGGCAATTCTTGACATCCCCCACAAAAATACGAGGGAAATGACCCTGCAGCACCGTGGCAGACGTTTGAGGGCAAAAATCTGAATTTTTGGTGAGAGCTCTGGAAATATCAGTGATGTATCTTGAGAGTAGTTAGATTCACTGCCAGGTCCCCAGGGTAGAGATTAAATGCTTCAGAAAACTATTGGACAAGAAGGTGCTTGGTGGCCATTATTACATCTCTGGCCAGTAGCCATCTCTAGAAAGGTGATGAGAGAAAGAAGACATGCATAATTATCTTCCCACAGAAAACCTCCAGCAGCCCCAGTGATCGCATTCAAAATAATGAACAACCTGTTTCCATCTGCATCTCCCTGCCCCCTATGGCTTGGGAGGGTCCATTCCTTCCTTCTCTCCCTCTGACCCTCTTTCTTCTCTGTCCTCCTCAGCTCCAATCTCTTCTTCTTCCTCCTCCTCCCCTTCTCTACTTGGCTCCCTTCTTAACCTCCTCAGCTTCCACACCTTTTAATAATTTTAACAACTGGTTCAAGGAACCTGTGCAAACTGTCTGCATGACACCAACGAATGGTCCCCATTCCACTTCCATGCTTAAACAAAGTAAACCCACCTTTGTGTGTCAAACGTTAGAGGGTGTGATTCAAGAAAAGAGAATTACCTTGGAATCAACGCGGCTTTTGTGAGGCACGTACAGGTTCAACATCTAGATCGCTTTTGAAGTGTAGGACACAGTAGTCAAAGAGCTAATTTTGCTCGAATCAACAGGATTAACTCCAAAGTAAGTAGCCTGAACTTCAACTCAAAGCCCACCACCTTCAAGCTTATGAAATGTCTCCCGTTAAGGTTTTGCAGATGGCTCACCCATCCAGATAGAACAGCTTTTGCTCCCCGGATCATTAGGAACCCGTCATTCACTAAGGACATGCTAACTAGTTTCGGGTACCAAGGCAGAGACTTGGCGTTGTGGATTTCAGCATGGTGAGATGACTCTCTTCTTTGGCTCTTGATTTGGAACAGCACATTGCATGAACTGTATTGTTCAGCTCAGCAAGTTGGATTCCATTTCTCTCAACTAATGAGGAATCATGCTGGTAGGCTGAATTTGAGACACAGTCTACTACTTTTAGACCAGTTTCATCTTGTTCATTTTGCCATTATCTTCCTCTGAACCTTAGAGCCAATTATGGGAAAAGAAAGAACAAGGGAGGGGAAGGGTGGAGTGGAAATGGAAAGCTGGAAGCGGAACAGAGAGAGGAAAGGCGTAATAGGTAAAGTGTCATATTTATGTTGCAGTTTCTATTGCATATCTATTGTTCAGAGCAAGGAAGACCTCTTGAGAGGAATGGATGTGCATGAAGGATGTCAGCCTTGGCCCTTGCCATTCTCCCTAGATGTGCTTAATCCTCATATGTGGATAAATTTATATTGCTGCCTAGATCGTTGGCTCTATAGACTGACAGACTGTTTTCACAAATAATAAATGGTTCTTTATATTAGATATATCTGTGAAGATAGCAAATGCCCTTGCCTTAAGGGGGGGCGGAGAGGACAACCATTTAATATTAGCAACAATGATATAGTTTATTCTGAGGTGTACAAAACTAATCACAAGAGATATTCTTAGAACAGTCTACTTTTTGGGCAATTCAAGGGTAGAAGTTTGGATGTGCATAAAACTTGGCCCATTTTGTTGTTGTTAACTGAAATCAAGCTGCCTTTGACATATGGCAACCTCAGGAATCATTGAACTCCACCTCACCCTAACATCAACAGCTTATAGAGAGATCTTGTAGCTTCTTTGAGACTTAGGGCCTCAGCAGACGACTAAAAGGGTCGTCTCCGAGCCCAGGAAGA